TGTGATCCTCCCTCCTCAGCCTCCCAAGCAGACAGGACTATGGGTACGTACCACTGCACCCAACTAAGGAATTCAAATTTCTTAAAACACTGCTTGACATCAAAACTAAGAGTTTTGTTGCTTTTTTTCTGTTTCCTGAGTCTGAGTCAAAACTTCAGAAGCATGAAAACTTTCTCAGAGTAACACAACAAACCATTACATTTTCAAATCGTCGGTGTTTTTTCTGAGATCTCTCAGAAAAAGGCACTCACAGGATTGACATAAGAAAAGCATGTCCATTGAACATACAACATCCTCCATCTCCTGAGATGAATCTGATAGGGGACTGAGCTACAAGCTATTCTAGGCAATTTCAATTCATCTCCAAAAGGTAATTTCTGGAAAACAGAGCTTCCTGTATGGAGTTCTAGCAAGGTATATCACCTTTTTTGTTGTAGAAGTAAAACCAACCAATAATACTCTGATAGGGAAAGAAGTTTTGCTACTTCCTTCGGGAGGAGCAATTGGACACAAAGAACAAGAGTCCCTGGCTTCTGGAAGCTGCCTGAAAGCTCAGCACTCTCTAGTCCTTCTCATCTCTTCTGTTTATTCCCATTGGCAAAGCCAAAGTGGTCATAATTGCCTTCAAAAGCAGAGATAATGAGCAACAAACACTTTAGTAGGAAACAGAGCAAAAATAAAACCACTGGTGGGGTAGAAGACCTAGAACTCCCTTGACCTCCTTACCCTAGAAGCAATCAGCAAGGGTTCTAACCCTGGGGAGCCCAGACTGTCAAGGCAATGAGAGGATTGTTTGCAACCATACAGGGCATTCTTTGATCTGTGGGATGCAACTCTCTTTATTATATTTTTAATGACAAAAGCAGAGAGCAAAAAAGCCTCAGAAGAGACATCATGCCATTAACATCAGATGATTCAGGAGGAATATACAGTTCATGGGGAGAAACCCACAATTAAATGCGAACATCGGACTGGCCATCCAGGGTACAAGGCAGAAAACGTATTACTCGTCCTCTGCTCTGCCCAAACTGCAGTGCTTACTTCTGGCAAAAATTTTAATCTGAGTTTTGTTTTTTACAGTTCTTATATGATTACATAGATTTCAGCCTAATTATTCTGTTGAGAATCTGCACTGGCTTCTAGCCCCCCAGGCACAGTCTCATTCACACCCAATTTAGTGAAGGGTCGTTCTGTTTTGAAAACTCAGGCCAAGGCCCAAGATGAATCAACGAGCTGCTGACGTCTATGTAGTCTGAGGGAGGACCTGTTTTTCCACAACGTGTCTATCGTCAAATAAACACTCCGGCAAAAGCAAATCAAGGTTCAGTCTTTGGGCAGGAAAAAAAACATGTTTTTGTGGTTTTTTTGCTCATAAAGAAACTATTTTATACTAAAATTACAAAAAAAAACTATATCACTTCCTGAAAAATAGACCAACAATTGTAATAGCAAAGTAAAAGTTGTATCTTTAAAATATAATTCTGTGTATTAGCTACTTTAGAAGTATTTAACTACTGACCTTTTTCTCTCAGTGTTACAATTTAAAAAGCCACATTTAGATCCTGAGCTACCGGCTGCTCACCTCCGTCCACCCACAAGGCCCCTCTCCCTGACAGCACTCAGTGTGGAAGAGTGAGTTTCAGGGAACAGCCACAGAGCTGCACTCTTAACTCTGGGGGCGTCAGCTCTGTCTAAGCTAAGGTGGCTCCCTTCTCCCTTAGATTTCTAAGTGGGCAGGAAGGGGCATCTTCTGGGAGACTTCAAGGAAAGGCGGACTTGCTTTCAAAAGAAACCACAATGAAGACAAAGGCCTTGTTCCCTTCCCTATGCATGGTGGTAGTGTCTGGGGCTCTCTGGTCAGAAAGCACAGGATGGACCACGGCTCCCTGAGGCCCTGGGGTGGGCACCCCCAAAGATGGAGAACGCAGACCCTCAGAGACAGTGCTGGGCTGCCACGGGCGCCCGGACCTTCCCTACCTCCACACACCCAGCGGGAGGAACAACAAGTGTTCCCTTACCAAGAATCCAGGCTGCCTGTTACTAGCTGCCAACTTATTTGTAACTAATATACGAATACATTGGGTTTACTAGGTGCTAAGCATGGTTATCTATTTATATTTCTACACCTACAGCTATGTACATACAACATAAGTATCTAATACAAATGTAATTTAACTTCATGGGACATGTACATTCTATAAAATCATACATACGTAGCCCTTGACATAACAGATGCCATGAGACGGGGCCTGGGGGGACCTCAAGTAGTCAGATGGGCACAGTGATCAGTATCCCCAGATCTCCAACCCGCTGAAAGCAAGCATGCAATAGACAGCCTCACACCAAGGGCCAACTGCAGCTACCTAAATGTGAGAACATGTAGTTTGAAGTGCTAAGGAAATAACAACAATCAGTTGAAAGACCTGTATTATTTTGAGAAAATGAAGTGTCTTCAGAATTTTCATGTTTTGAAAAATTATTTCCATCTCATAAAGTTTACATGCTAACACTTTATGATGAAAATCAGTACCTTTGCTATAACCCTTGGTGATACCAAGCAAAACTATTCCTTCCTGCTGTTTCAAATTTGAATATCCTCAGAATTATTTTAGAGGTTTGTACCATAAGACGCAGACTTGGATGAAAGGTATAAAATACTTAAGGTTTCTTTTATTTTAATTTTTAAAATTTTAATATAATGCAAGTAGATATTAATAAAATATATAAAAAGGACTCTTCCATGAAAAACTAAAACAAATTTTCATTACAAATAATTAGACGATAACAATGGTTCATATACTATGTATCATGATCTTAAAAGAATGGGCAAAATGTTACTCAGAGTACAAGTCATACCATTTCTTTCCACTGAGATCATTAATCTTAATTGAAAAACAGATACCCCAGTGGTTAGGCAACAAAACTGAACAATTTTTAAATTATCTGAAAAACAACAAAACATTCCCTCACTCCATGCTCATCTAACTTTCCATCCATAAGAGCTTATACAAAAGTAACCAAGTTTTTAACATCAAAACTATTAAAACACACTCAACATCAGTAATCATCAGGAAAATGTTCCTCAGAACCACAGAGAATCATCACCACTCCACAGTTAGAATAACTGCTAGCAAAACTAGATGAGTGTTGGTGAGGGAGTGCTAAGAGGAAACATCCACCCTGCAGCTAGGGGTGTGCCCAGGCCACCTGCTATGGGAGACAGAGTAGACTTTCCTGGAAAGAACTTAGTAAGAGAACTATGAAGCAATCCAGCAATTCTACTGCTGGTTATGAGGCCAAAGGGAATAAAATCAGGAAGCCAAATACGTTTTACACTCCCATGTTCACACTACTCACAGTAGCAGAGACAAAGAAATAGCCCAGTGCCCGTCAACAAATACAAGAGTTAAGAAAATGCGATACACATCCACAGGAATATTATTTCGCTCTAAAAATAAGGAAATCCTCCCTTTTATAATAACATGGATGAAGCCAGATGCCATAATGCTAAGTAAAAGAAGCCAAACACAGACACAAATGCTGCACAGCCTCAGTTACATATGGAACCTAAAAAGTGAAGCAGCTCCCACGTCAAGAGGGCAACACAGCAGTTACCGCACACTGAGGGCTGGGGAAGCGGCCGTGCCAGCTGACGAAGGGCACAAGCTTTCAGTCCTAAAAGAAGTTCAGGAGATCCAGTGTTGAAGGGGTGGAGTAAAGCTAAAGGCAATGTATCGGATATGTGAATGCTGCTGAGAGTAGGGTTCACATGTTCTCATCAAACACGTGACATGTTCACCATGTGAGGTGCGACACTTATTTTGACTGAGATAGTAATTTCACATCAAAACATCACATTGTATACCTTAAATATATACAGTTTTATCGATCATACCTCAATAAATCTGGGGGAAAAAACTATTAAAAGTAACAAAGAAAACTCTGGGATTTCTTGCTACAAAAGGGTGGGCATTGTGCCAGGCATGGTGGCACACGTCCGTAATTCCAGCTATTTAGTAGGCTGAGGCAGGAGGATGGCAAATTCAAAGTGCAGCCTGGGCAACTTTGTGAGATTCTGTCTCAAGATTTAATTTAAATAGGGGAGGGGAATGAGAGTAAGTAGCTGGGGATATAGCTCAGAGACAGAGCGCCTGCCTGGCATGCATGAGGCCCCAGGTTCAGTTCCTACCACAGTAAAACAAAGACAGGAAAGAGAGAAAAAGAACATTATAAGAAGCAGTTAATACTAAAAATAACAAAAAATTAACTTACAAAATAAATTCTTAAATCTTCTCCCACAGTGGAACTTTGTAAACAGTCCTTTATCGGCAGATAGAAAACAATTCTTTCTTTCTCCCCTCTCTGACCCCTTGGTCCAGGGGCTGGAACCCCAGAACCCAAACACCATAAGATCAGCCATGGCAGAGACACCAAGGAGCACGAAACTGTTCCAACTTCATGCATTCTAGGAGGCCAGCTCAGCATGGACTAGTCACTTCTAAAACTCAGGAACTTAAAACTGTTCCTTGATATTATAGAAGGATAAGTTCCTAATTTTCATAAAATAACATAGATGCTAAAACAACACTATAGAATATATAGTATTTCTCTCATGAAGTGAAGTTGGGCAAAACAGAAAGTTTTAATTTGCCTTTTAGATCCTCTCACTTTTGCTTATTAAAGAAGCAGACTTGAAAGTCTAGTCGGTAGCTACTTTACGCACTGCCAAATATCTGTGCCTTAGCAACACTGCAACTGCTAAAATTGGGATGCTTCAGAAAATCTCCTGCAAATATTCACAACTACTCCAAAGAAATCTTTGATCTGGGACCAGCACACAAATACTCTGCATTTAGATCAGATGAACTCAGACACAGAGCCTGGTACTTAACCGACGTCTGTAAGAACAATTGATCTTTAGTCGGCACTTCGAGGGGAGAAACATCTGAGCAATGACAAGACCTGAGGCCAAGGATGCCGGGCGGGCTCTGTTACGTTACCTGTTCTTGTTTCTCCAGCCACTTGTCCACCATGGGGTGACTGGCACTCAGAGAGGTGCGGGCATTGTCGCGCTGAAACTGGGTGGACCAGTTACTAGTGTCCCTCGGCAGGCTCCTGTAGTTTTCATCTTTCTATTCCAACAGAAAGAAAAAGAGCATCTTGTTAAAAACTTCCAGATTAACGATGTACCTGGTTTTTCAAAAGAAGCAGAAAAAAGATTCTACATATTCAAAGTAATTTTCCAAGTCTATACAAAATAGCTGGTTGAAGAAGCCTCAAAGACACCTTGAACTGAAGCAGATATAACATGAGACTCAACCCTACGTCAACACATAAACCCTTCATCTAAAATACTCAGAATCATCTTCACCTCCCACCTCCCTCTTTCAGGCCCACATTTGCAAGGTACTAATCCAGTGTTTTTGCCAAGATATTAGTCCCTGACCATTACTCTGCTTCCAGATCAACTTGCCTCTTGTCTGAAATGACAGCTTCCAGCTGGACAGTAGCCCCAGGCCCAGCCCCACTCTTTCCAACAATGGTACACACTGCTTGCTGGCACAGTACTGTTCTAAAACGGCTATCTGATCACATCCCACCTTCAGCAAAAACTCCCACGTAGACCACAGCATCTTTCAGACAACTGTGCTTGCTACATCACACACAGCTCCTCGCCTTCACTCTTGCTGGTTCTCAGACATCTGGCGGCATTCTGTCTATAGAAACACCTAACATTCTTCAAAGCCCACTTCAAATACTACTTCCACTAAGGAGTATTCCCTGACCCTCAGCAGAACTAACCAAATCATACTTTTTGCTACTACTGCATTTGAATTTTAACTAAATTATGATTCTTAACATATAATTCAGTTAAGTTTTAAAACTGCTATTTCCTCTATGATGGGAAGCCTGGGTAGAGATGATCATTCACTTTGAAACCCAACATATAGGCCAATGACCAACGCCAACATGGATGGCGTTTTCTTGAATAATATTTATATTTCTAATTGCACATGACTTTGGAATCCTTGAATTTTGAAAGAACATTCCAGTAGGTTACTTTAAAAATTATTGAAGAAATGCTTTAAAGAGGTACCATGATAAACTTCAGTTTATCTAATATTTCCACTGAACTGTAACAATCATATTTTTAGATTTATACTAAAAGATTTATACTATTGATATATGGTTACTTCAATTTAATGTCACACCTACAGAATATAATGTCCGCACCTAAAAATAGTACATTATGTCTCTATTCCAGTCAGCAATGACCTGTGGTCCATGTGACAGGATATCACTGAGTAATTAAGACAGACTGTGGCTAACAATCGAAAGACCTGTCTTTTTGCACTCTACCTAAAAAATTCTGTAACTTTATATTTACACAACATGCTTTCAGGAGCCAATGGATAAGGAAAATAACATTAGCATTAACTCCCCACAGTAAAATGGTTCCCAATTTGTGGTGAAGTCAATAATGAATCCATACATTAATCCGAATGCAATGAAAATTATAGTGATTTGAAAAATAGTGATTTGAGACAGGGTCTTGCTATGTATTTCAGGCTGGCCTTGAACTCACTATGTAGCCGAGGCTGGCCTCAAACTTAAGCCAATCCTCCTGCCTCAGCCTCCTGAATGCTGGGATTACAGGCGTATGCCACAATACCTGGCTTCTACACATATATTTTAATCACTATGCAACATAAATATTATTCTGTTAATAGAACATGCAGGTACTAATAAGTAACCAAGAACATTTTAGTCATGTTTTTCCACCTAATCTTGATTAATCTGCATACAAAAAATATGGACCTAAAAAACTGTGAACAAAAGCATTATAACAGACGATGTTATTTCCTACATCACACCATGTGCATAGGTAGGCACTATTTCCCATTTAAATTAATATAGTATACTCTATGTTTAAAACAAAATTTGTTTTAGCATGTTCTTTTTTTACTTTCTGTGGTTTTGGGGATAGAATCAAGGGCCTTGCGTATGTTAGGCAAGCACCTTTCCACTGAACAACATCCCCAGCCCTTAAAATTAGTATTTTCAAAATATGGTAATTTTGCTGGCTTTGCATGTAATGCCATCAACTTAAAAGCATAAGGCAGGCGGATCACAAATTGGAGGACAGCCTGGGCATGTTAGTGAGACTCTGCCTCAAGAGTCAAATTAAAAGGGCTGTGGATGTAGCTCAGTGGTAGCCTAGCATGTGCAAGGCCCTGGATTCCATCCGCAGAATTGCAAAAACGAGAAAAAAACACTATTTTTATCCAGGTATACACACTCACTTATGGATCAAACTACACTTACAAAAACAAAATCGAAATTAAAGGTATGTCATACATAGGTACCAATTCCCCCAAATGAATGAATGTAAATATCATGTATTATAAACATATATCAATAAAAAGTCATAATTTTAAAAAGAAAAAAGTCAACATTTTAAAATCAAATATATTTCCAGTCCTACATTTCATATATTGCCATTCATAGTTCTGCAACAAGTAATAGCTACATCTCCGATTAGAGACAGTGATTTTAAATCTGTTTCACTCAATGATCAAATTATTGTCCCCATTCTGTATACTGGTAAACATCAAAGTAAAAACAGAAATCTTTTTTTTAGACTTATAAAAATCTACTAGCACAAATATTTAAAAATCCTAATAACTACTAATCCTAATGATGAGAAAGTTTATTACAGCTCAGCCAGTACTTTATCTAAAATACTGTATGAAAAAATACCATAAGGAATTACTCTCCTTTTTTGTTTTTAATTATAATGTGAATCTTTCACTTAAGAGGCTGCCTGAAGCAGTCACTCAGCTTTGCACAGGGTTGGGGAAACCTTCCCTCTTGCCAGAAAAAAACAGATGTTCCTGCTGTGATCAGGGATTTTCCTTATCATCTAAATGTACTGCCACATCATCAGGTGTCAAAAAGCCACTCGGGCTGGGAAATGCATATTAATTTGTTATTCCCTGGTAGACATATCCCGGTTAGGAAGCAAATCTCTTCCAGGGTAGGGGAAGTAAGTGTGCTTTCTCCCCCTCATCTCACTGCAAGCCAATTACATTTCAATAAAAAGAAATCACAGAGAAGCCACCCAACGCCTTGAGAGAAAAGCTTATTCCTAACATGCTGAGACTCCACAACTTTATCTTTTCAAAACAGCTATGTAGCTGATGGTCAGATTTCTTGGCAAGCCCACATCTCTATGTTGCAAAAAACAGCACTATCGCACGATTATTATAGAAGCAGTGGACATTTCCACATTAGCACAGGAAACTCAACTATGTTCTCACTTTGCTTTAGTGCAAAAATTGCAAACACGTTTTTAAAAATCATGAGGAACCACACCATATTTTGAAACACAAAATACTCAATGCATATAAATTTCCCTTTTGCACCCTCTGTGCTTCATATGGTTTTAAATATTCCCATGTGATGTTAAGATTTTAGGCTTACAACATTTTTCAACACTGAAATTGTAAAAGAGAATTTAATTTTTTACTTTATCATTTCTGTAAGAAAAGAACAAAGAAAACTATTTTGAAGACACCTAACCTGAAATTATGAGACTGAAGTAAAATTAGTAATTATTGCTTAGGATAATTTTTTTCTTAAAAAAATTCCATGAGGCCTGCTGAAGTCATCAATCATATTGTTGATTCAGTGTACCCTACTCTACCCTGTTGTCTGCCAGAATTTATCTTTTGTGCCCCCTGAGGGCTACACCAGAATATAACTTTGGAAGCAACACGAAGACTGAAGATTAGAGGACAGAAACCTAAAATAGTCTGTAAATAAAATTATTTTTGGTGTATTTTTGGTTTTGGGGGGAGGTGTTGCTCTTTGTTTTTATTTTTCTTTGTCTTTTAGAGACAGGGCCTCACTATACAGTTCAGGCTGGCCTTGAGCTCACTTTGTAGCCCAGGCTGGTCTTGAACTCTCAACAACCCTCCTGCTTAAGCCTCCCGAGTGCTGGGATTATAGGTGTGCACCACCACGCCTGTTTTTTGGTGTATTTTTAACCTTCAATTCATTCTTGAAAACAATAAATGAGAAAAAGAAAGCAGGCATAGAGAGAGAGAAGGTGAAAAAGGAGGGGGAGGAATAGATTTACTTTATAAAAATCAGGTTCAATAACCAACTTGTAAAAGAGCTTGGCAGTCCCTCAATTTGAATGAATTACATGTTTGTTAAGATATTTTCTTAAAACAAGGAAGCCAAATATTTTATTCTAAATACAGTATAGATTGAGTATCCCTGACTCAAAATGCTTGGGACAAGAAGTATTTCAGATTTCAGAATTTCCCAAATTTGGGAATATTCACATATACATAATGAGATACCCTAGGGATGAGACCCAAATCCAAACACAAAATTCAACATGTTGCATATATACTTTGGACAGATATTTTAGTAATTCTGTGCATGAAACAAAATTTCATGGGTGCGGACCTCTTCAGTTGTATCATCTATCATCTTCGTGCTTAGAAAGGATCCTATTACAGAGCACTTCACATTTGGACTTCCAAAAGGATGGTCAATCGGTATTCATCATTTACTGTGGCTGCATGACTATTTCTCAGCATTGCAGAACTGTGCTTCAGCTTTCTGAGATTTTAGTTACTGCAGCTGAACACAATCCGAAAATGTACAATGGAAAGTTAAAGAATTAAAAATTTCTAAAATTTAAATCGCATACCATTGTAAAGCGCATGGTGAAATCTGGTGGCTTCTCATCCCATCAGCCAAACCAGGACAGGAATCTCCTCCACCCAGTGCCACCCTGACTCCACCGCCAGCCCGTTAGCCACCGGGCAGCACTGTGTTCAAGTAATTAATATTTTATTTAATAATCGTCCTGAAGTGCGAAAATAATGGTGATGGAAATTCATACATACCAAAGAGCAGCCACAAAGTGCTTCCTTTAGGTGAAAAGAGAGAGTTCTCAACTTAATGAAGAAAGAAAAAGAAAGCATATGCTAAGGTTGTGTTTGCTAAGATCAGTGATAAGAATGACTCTTCCACTCAGGAAGTTCTGAAGAATGAAAAATAAATTGGTGCTCACTTTTCCACTGCACACAAAACTACAAAAGTTACAGCATCA